GTATAGGGCGAAGTTGTGACCTAGTAGGCCAAATTCGAATCTTTTTTCAAAATCCCTTTTGCAGTTTTCATAAAACTATTTTTTTTTTTTTTTTTTTTTTTTTTTCGCTATTGAAAAAAAAAGCTATTTAGTTGAAATCAATATTCCTGTCGTTACATACGATATAGTTAACGTTTAATTGCCTTTCAGTTCGATAAAATATTAACAAAAAGATATTTTATTAGTTTTCATTAATATTATAATTTATGTCGTACCGTTTTGGTAACCTGCGCGACGGAAATCGACGGAATATAACGAAGACGACAATTACCACTATTTATTTCAATAAATGTGCCTCTTTAGCATAAATCTATTTTGTGATGTTCAACCTAAACTAAACTTTTGAACGTTGACAGAAAGGGCAAAATTTAACCCTTTACCAAGATAAAATGAAAAGGTTTTGAAAATTTATTTAATTCTTTAATGTACTAATCCTTTCTAATGATATAAAATATGAAACTGATTAATGAAAGATAACTTTGTAATTATTTATACATTTGCATCTAATTAGCCCCCATACCGTTTTCCAACTAGTATGTCATATTAGCAATCTGTTACTATTAATAGATTCTATAACACTAACATACAACGTGTAGTCACGTGATTCTTACAATAGAACAGGGAGAATCTGTTTATAATTAGATAAAATAATGAAATATAATAGGTGTCATAAGATATAAACAACCAGATAATTTAAATGTGTCATTTTAAATATCATTCATGATTTATCAATCATAAAATAGCAACGCTTGACACTTAGAAAAAAGTAAAAGTATCCCTAAATTCAATGACTGGTCCATAGGGATACGTTATTAATTCATTTTATGAAAATTGTAATGTTGCTTTTTAAGATGTCAATATTTGTATATTTCATTTCATTTAGCAACGTTAATTTATTTTCGAATTTTTAAGATTCTGAAAAATAATTGTGGTCCTTAATTGTTCAGTAATTGATTTGCTTTTATTTTCAGATTTTAAGGCCTTCTCCTACCATAGATATAATATTAAACTGTTACAAATATAGTCGCCGGTTTCTACCGGCGACTAATAATTCGTCAAACAAGTAGCAGAGTGTGAAAAAAATGATATTTGACTACAATACAAAAAACTAGATCAATATAACAGTATTGGATACCAATGTGCATAAGAAGCAAAGGTTTTTTGATGTTATATCGTTTTTGGCGTAGTTGGTCTTTAAGAAGTTTAATTTGGTAAGAGTTGTATTTATTAGTCGCCGGTAGAAATCGGCGACTATATTTGTAATAGTTTAATATTATACCTATGGTAGGAGAAGCCCTTAAAATCTGAAAATAAAAGCATATCAATCATTGAACAATTAAAGACAACAATTATTTTTCAGTAATCACAAAAAATCAAACATATGATAACTTTGATCAGTGGAATGAAATATGCACATATTGACGTCTTAAAAAGCAACATTACAATTTTCATAAAATGAATCAATAACGTATCCCCAAGGATCAGTCATTGAATACTAGAGATACTATTACTTTTTTCTATGTGTCAAGCATTGCTATTTTATAATAAATAAATCATGAATGATATTTGAAATGACTCTTTAGAATTATTTGGTTGTTTATTTTTATGAGACCTTTTATATTACATTATTTTATCTAATTATAAACAAATGCTCCTTGGTGTTTCGTAAGAATCACGTGACTACATGTTTATATATGTTGTATATCGTTATAAAATCTATTAATAGTAACAGATTGCTGATAAGACAGGTAATTTGTTAATGGTGGTAACTGATAAGATGTAAATCATTGTAATTTTGTACAGATAATTACATAAGTTATTTTTCATTAATCAGGTTCATACTTTATATCATAAGAGAAACCTGTTTACTTTAAAAATACATTTTCAAAACCTTTTCCTTTCTTCTTGGTAAAGGGTTTAACTTGGCCCCTTCTGTCAAACATTCGACAAGAAAGTTCAATTGTTTAGTTTAGGTTGAACATCCCAAAATAATATTATGCTTAGATAGCACTCCACACTAAATTTCAAGTTTCTGCCGTCAATGTCCTACAAGCAATATGTCTGATAAATCTGATCCCAAACTACACAACCTGGAAAAAGAAAACACATTTTGTTAAGAACATATATGTCATACCATTGCAAATCTGTAATGAAATCATCCCATGTGCAACAATCACGCAGTTAAAAAAAAATCCAATTCATTCCGTAAAAGCCAAAAATCTATAGTGGTCCGAGACCCAAAATAACATTTTTTCGTCCCTCCGGCAAAAAATACCTGCAAATATACGGTCTACAAAAACTCTGTCACTGCTTTAGCAAACTCCCTATGCATGCAAAATATCACAAAGAAATAGGTGCTTGGCCTTGTAGATTTTTTGCTATTGCTGAAAGTTTTGTACCCCCTGTAAAATTACTTGTTTTCACCGAGCATGCTGTTTAAAAGCAATGTTTACAAACAATGGCGACCTTGACATCAATAATTATCAGGCATGTGATTTCCAACCATGTTTTCGAATTTGCCAATGATCATATTACATGTCACAAAAACAAATTTCATGCTGAAAATGCATTTTAAAGACAACCAGTCATTTAAATCCACAATAGTCACTATATCCATGAAATCCTCCCTGGCCATTCGAAGCTGCGGCTTCATTTAGTGTGGTGTGCTGCCTTAAGAGGCACATTATTGAAATATATAATGGTAATCGTTGATTTCGGTATATTCCGTCGGTTTCCGTCACGCAGGTTTCCAAAACGGTATGACGTCAGGGGTCCGGAATCGTATTAGATACATAGAAAAAAGTAATAAACTATCTTTGTGTTGATAGTTTATCGCACTGAAAGGCAATTAAACGTTAATTTTATATATCGTATGTAACGATTGGAATACGTGTATTGATTTCAACTAAATTATATATTTTTTCTATAGCACATAATAATGATGTACAACACTTTTACAGTAAAATTGTATTGTTTCATGTAATAATTAAACATATATATTTTCTTAGTCACTTTGCAAATATTCGATGATCGGTAATTATTTGTCGGTAATTACTAATTATCTGAATCTGAACTAGTAACCTATACGGATTTCAATGTATGGTACAACTATGGTATAATTACAAGAAGAATTACCAGCATAGCACTTGCCATACAAGCCTCAGTGGCAAACATTACTCAACTCATTGTTCCTCTTATTTTTATACTTGAACCATTAAACTTATATTTTCTTATATTTATGATAATACAATCAATTTTTTATCCGGCGACTTGATGCTTTAGCATCAAAATCTCTACTTGTTGTTAATCTTATCCTCTAAAGAGCTTTGCGTCCTGGATATAAAACAATATGATTGTTGTAAGTGTGGTGTCTAAGTTGAGTGAGACATAGCAAAATTAATGTTACTGTAGATCTCCGAAAATAACGTCATAATTCGCAACGCATACAATGATATTAACTTTCATGTTTCAGAAGGAGAGAGAAAATGAAGAAGGGCACTGACTATATCACCGGTCATCAACATGTTATTGCTTATATAACTTGTTCGTTATATTGTATTGTTTTGAAAAATTTCTGTCCATGAACGGTAACCCACTGGATGACATTCCTGTATGTATTGATCTTGTATTTTTAGTGAAAAGTGCGGGGCTTGTTCTTCCCGCTGCACTTGGATGTTCCTTTTGACCATCTGCCTCGGATTATGATATTTGATAATATGAATGCAACTAGGCCAATATCTCGCTTTTAACCACGTTTTGCAGGAACTATGTACATGTATCGCATAGATGGTTGTGTAAGCCCTCAATTGTAAATCAGTTTAGTATCTCGATTAACGCTTTCTACTTGTGTTTCCTTTCACTTGCAAATACGGTTCTATATCAAGAACCGCTGTATCCTTGATATACAGGCGAAATACATATTTAATGAGATATGTCGTGTTTATGGGAACATTGAACTTTCTTTTGCATGTGTCACACGGTGGTGTAAGAAATTGTAGTGTGGATTCAGTAAAAGATGCACCTCATGCACGCCGCCTGAAAATTGCAATATCGCCGAAAACGGTTGAAAAAAGTAAAGGATTTGAGTACTACTGATGCAAGATTTACAACTAAATACATAGCTAAATGCGTTGGTATCTCTTTAGGAGCGCTCATACAATTCTGAGACATGATTTAAAATGAAATGGATAAGTGCCAGATGGTTACCCCATGTCTTTACAAAAGACCAAAAAATCGGGTAGGGAATCTCCAAACAATTGTTGAAACAATTCCCTAAATACAACAATCGATCTTTTTCAAATACCATCACTGGCGATGCGACGTGGGTTTACTTTTATGAGCCCAAGCGAAAGATACATAACAAAATATGGGCAACCAAAGGAAATCAAACACCTTGCATAGCAAATTGCACCATGAGCATCAAAAAGGTCATGTATGTAATTTTCTTTTCCAATCAAGGCCCTATTATTCAAATTGACGTACAAATGGTAAATCTGTAAATTCCAAGTTTTGCAAAGGCAAGGTCCTTCATAAATTAAAGAAATATTTCAAAAACCGACGACCATCAACTGGTCTCCGTGGTGTCAGGTTGTTGCAAGACAATGCTCCGTCACACAAAGCATTCATTGTACGAGAATATCTGAAACGGAACAAGGTTGTCGAGCTTCCTCACCCGGTTCGGCTTTTTCCCAGTGTCTGAACAGTATACCTCGAAAAGATTATGAAGACGCATTTGAAAATTGGATTAAAAGACTAAAACTTTGTATATCACATGGTAGTGAGTATTTTGAAGGATTGAGGTTATTATTTTGGCACTGTTTGTTAAGCACTTCTGAAAAAGGACCCAGCTGCATTCTTATTTGAACACCCCTCGTAACTCCACTAACAGAAATAAGAATCCCAATACGGCAAAACTGAAAATACTTGATAGCGTAAAAAAGCATGTAAAACTTGTTAATTACCGATATATCGTTTTCTTGTACTGCTCTCGACTTTACACATTCAACACCTCCATAGCAAGACACAACTTCAGGAAACGAGTCAGTGATATAATAATCCATAACAATCCTAAAACATTTGGTAAATTTGTTTCTTACTATCTTACAAAAACGTTAAAACCGATTATTTTATTTCTACTTGTCGACATTCAATAAATAGCTATTGCTTTGCGTTTAAAATATGCACCGGTCGATAATTTAGTTCAATATTATAATATCATATTTCATTTTTATGGGAGTGATATTCGAATAGTTAACAAAGTGTATCATAGAAGACAGCACGCTCGACTTATGTTTTTGGTAGTATATAAAGACAAAATTATGAGAAAAAATGGCTGGATTATTATTAATGTATTATTATTATGTATTAATTCATTTCACAAAAAAATCCAAATTTAGTTTCGCTTAACCGAAGTAAGTTCAAACGGGAGATGATTTTTTAGCTCACCTGACCACGAAGTGGTCAAGGTGAGGTATAGTGATGGGGCTATGTCCGGCGTCCGTCGTCGTGCGTCGTGCGTCGTCAACAATTGGGTTGTTAACAGTCTAGCAGTCACAGTTTTGATTGGATCGTCATCAAACTTTGTCAGAATGTTTGTCTCAATGATATACAGATCGAGTTCGAAGATGGGTTATCTCGGGTCCAAAACTAGGTCACAGGAGCTGAAAATAGAAAAACCTTGTTAACACTCTAGAGGCTGCAGTTTTCAACCAAATATTCTGGAAATTTGTCAGGAAGGTTGTTTTATTGATATCTAGGTCAAGTTCGAGATGGGTCATCTCCGGTCAAAAACTAGGTCACAGGAGCTAAAAATAGAAAAAGCTTGTTAACACTCTAATAATTGGGTTGTTAACAGTCTAGCAGTCACAGTTTTGATTGGATCATCATCAAACTTTGTCAGAATGTTTGTCTCAATGAAATACAGATTAAGTTCGAAGATGGGTTATCTCGGGTCAAAAACTAGGTCACAGGAGCTAAAAATAGAAAAAGCTTGTTAACACTCTAGAGGCTGCAGTTTTCATCCAAATATTCTGGAAATTTGTCAGGAAGGTTGTTTTAATGATATCTAGGTCAAGATCGAAGATGGGTCATCTCCGGTCAAAAACTAGGTCACAGGAGCTAAAAATAGAAAAAGCTTGTTAGCACTCTAGTGGCTGCAGTTTTCATCCAAATATTCTTGAAATTTGTCAGGAAGGTTGTTTTGATGATTTCCAGGTCAAGTTCGAAGATGGGTCATCTCCGGTCAAAAACTAGGTCACAGGTGCTAAAAATAGAAAAAGCTTGTTAACACTCTAGTGGATGCAGTTTTCATCCAAATATTCTGGAAATTTGTCAGGAAAGTTGTTTTGATGATTTCTAGGTCAAGTTCGAAGATGGGTCATCTCCGGTCAAAAACTTGGTCACAGGAGCTAAAAATAGAAAGAGTTTGTTAACACTCTATAGGCTGCAGTTTTCATCCAAATATTCTGGAAATTTGTCAGGAAGGTTGTTTAGATAATATCTAGGTCAAGTTTGAAGATGGATCATGTCCGGTCAAAAACTAGGTCACAGGAGCTAAAAATAGAAAAAGCTTGTTAACACTCTAGTGGCTGCAGTTTTCATCCAAATATTTTGGAAATTTGTCAGGAAGGTTGTTTTGATGATATCTAGGTCAAGTTCGAAGATGGGTCATCTCCGGTCAAAAACTAGGTCACAGGAGCTGCAGTTTTCATCCAAATATTCTGGAAATTTGTCAGGAAGGTTGCTGAGATAATATCTAGGTCAAGTTCGATGATGGGTCATCTCCGGTCAAAAACTAGGTCACAGGAGCTAAAAATAGAAAAAGCTTGGTAACACTCTAGTGGCTGCAGTTTTCATCCAAATATTCTGGAAATTTGTCAGGAAGGTTGTTTTGATGATATCTAGGCCAAGTTGGAAGATGGGTCATGTCCGGTCAAAAACTAGGTCACAGGAGCTAAAAATAGAAAAAGCTTGTTATCACTCTAGTGGCTGCAGTTTTCATCCAAATATTCTGGAAATTTGTCAAGAATGTTGTTTTGATGATATCTAAATCGAGTTCGAAGATGGGTTATCTCGGGTCAAAAACTAGGTCACAGGAGCTAAAAATAGAAAATGCTTGTTAACACTCTAGGGGCTGCAGTTTTCATCCAAATATTTTGGAAATTTGTCAGGAAGGTTGTTTTAATGATATCTAGGTCAAGTTTGAAGATGGGTTATCTCCGGTCAAAAACTAGGTCACAGGAGCTAAAAATAGAAAAAGCTGGTTAACACTCTAGTGGCTGCAGTTTTGATTAAAATATTCTGGAAATTTGTCAGAAAGGTTGTTTTTATTATTTCTAGGTCAAGTTCGAAGATGGATCATGTCCGGTCAAAAACTAGGTCACAGGAGCTAAAAATAGAAAAAGCTTGTTAACACTCTAGTGTCTGCAGTTTTCATCCAAATATTTTGGAAATTTGTCAGAAAGGTTGTTTTGATGATTTCTAGGTTCTAGTTCGAAGATGGGTCATCTCCGGTCAAAAACTAGGTCACAGGTGCTAAAAATAGAAAAAGCTTGTTAACACTCTAGTGGCTGCAGTATTGATTCAAATATTCTGGAAATTTGTCAGGAAGGTTGTTTTGATGATTTCTAGGTCAAGTTCGAAGATGGGTCATCTCAGTTCAAAAACTAGGTCATAGGAGCTAAAAATAGAAAAAGCTTGTTTACACTCTATAGGCTGCAGTTTTGATTCAAATATTCTGGAAATTTGTCAAGAATGTTGTTTTGATGTTTTCTGGGTCAAGTGGTAAGATTGGTCATGTCCGGTCAAAAACTAGGTCACAGGAGCTAAAAATAGAAAAATCTTTTTAACACGCTAGTGGCTGCAGTTTTGATCCAAATTTCCTGGAAATTGGTCAGGAAGGTTGTTTTGATGATTTCTAGGTCAAGTTTGAATATGGGTCGTGTCCGGTCAAAAATTAGGTCACATTGCCCAAATATGGAAAAATCTTTATAACACACTAGAGGTCACATGTTTGACTCAGTCGTATCAAACTTGGTCATGATGCTTGTTTAAGACATTGCTTGGATGCGGTTGTGTCAGGTGAGCGATCCAGGGCCATCATGGCCCTCTTGTTTGTATTAATAAATATACAAGAGTGATAAAACTGCCTCAGAACTCCTTTCATATTTTCATTTTCCTGGTGCTCTGTCATCAAGTTATGGATTCTTAAACATTTTATAAAAGAAAAAACATTTTAGTTCAGAAAAATAAAAATTCAGTTATGATAAATATTTTACTTATTCAATACGAAGAAAGTTCAAGTGTTAGACAGAAACAATGGGAGTGAAATATAGTTTGTGAAATGAAATCTCTGTTTTGAACTTTTGACAAACTGCATAGAATTTAAAGTAAATTTCTTCAGTAACGTAATAAAACAGAAAGGAAAGAAAATCAGAGATATTTATTGAAATTAAGATGGCCGAATTATGTGAGTATCTACATGTGTAAGCAAGGTAAATAAAACAGAAACAAAAAAAGCTCTGTCAGTAAAAGAAGATTATTCATGGTATACAGTTTTAAGTAGTCATTTGCAATGTCAAAATTATCTATCCGTTTGTAGCGTACAGTTATCTTATCGCACGAAAACTCATCGTACACATAAATATTTGGACAACATGACGTCAATATATATCTTTGCACAAAATTATTTGCTGTGCAACTCAATAATGAATATCTAAATAAGTTGTAAGCAGAAATAGAAACTAATATTTACGATATGGGCTTTGATGTCATGACTTTTTCACCGACACAAAATCAGTTACTGCCAACATATCTTCAATAACTTTTTTCACTATTGAACCTTAACTTGTATGGTTTCAAGGAAATATGTGTAGGTCAAAGCCGTACTATTTAACCTTAACTTCTATGATTTCAAGGAAATATGTGTAGGTCAAAGCTCCACATAATCCACAAAAATGCAATTTTAATAGTACACAATTTTAACATTTTTATACAAATAAACTCACTCTGACGTGTGTTTACATTATAAAAACCGCCATTACTCCGTATCGTAACATTTCACCATCTTAAAATAGTATCGAACCTCTATACGTTCGACTTCCTGATCTACCCGCATATATATATATTATAACCTTATCTGAATTTTACAAGGATTTTTTATTGGAAGAATGCCTATATTTCTATCCAGGAGTCTATTGATTTAAATTCATAAACAGCACTCCTTTTGTCGTTAGTGTACCTGGCGGTATTGTATGTAATATACATAAAAAAATGCAAATTAAAATACGTAATAACAAACAGATAGACATGGGGTATTTAAATACTGTTCAAAACAATCTTTTTCTTTAAACGAATCCATTATTTAATTAAAGTGGGTTTGTCTACAGTGGCCTCATTTTCCATTAGTATAACAAATGTTGATAAAAAAACAATAGAAATGTATACTTTTTACATACATGTACTTATAAAACATTGTTTAAAAAGAAACCGATGATAAAGTTGTAAATGGTATTGTAATTTTTTGTTGTTTTCAAGTGTAGAGAAGCCATGCATATGTTTGTTTAAATAATTAAATTCATTGAATCAAATTATGCCATCTATGGACATGATTAAGATATTAACTGCGATTTATTTGCCAATGCTAATTGTGAGTTAAACATATATAAACCAACATTAAACATATTTGGGTCCATCTAATATGTAAAGCCGCTGATAATATTGCAACGCTATGTCGCGACTCGCGAATATAATAATAGTCATTTTTGTTTTTGATCAAATCACAAGTTACATTAACACTTTTACTTTCTATTAATTTGTATGCGTATAAATGGTTCCTTCAAATTGAACTTCTCATGCGCAGTTGCCCAACTTTCAGTGTCTTTGCAGATAGCATCTGAAAAGATGGTACATACAACCACCCTTATGTATATACATGTATATATAGTAATTATGTCATAACCAGAAACTCGAAGTAAGAAATAATCAGTTTTAATAGAGCAGGAAGACACGTTATTAATTCACAAAGGCATAAAATGAATAATACACAAAATGATTATCCTAAATAATTCATACTAGTTACGACAATTCTATTACGGTATAACAGATAGTCACATGATGAATAACATTACTTCATCGATTAAGTAACAGTGACCATTAACAGCTAAATAACTAATATG